TGAACAGCTCCATTAGGTGCCATGTTCTTCACATTTTTGTGCTTTTTGTTGGTGATTTCATAGTTTCAAATGACCTCCATCTGTAATGATACGCTGTCTAGTGTCCCTTAGCACAAGAAGGCTGTGGCATGCCTTTCAGAGAGAATATGTATGTTAGATAAGCTTCACTCAGCCATGAGTTTGGTAATGAATTGGCAATATACATCACATAAAGCATCTTTAAACACATAATGCAAGGTCATGTAGTGATCAGTTGATGAAGATGGTGTCACCAGTGGCTGGCAGGAACCTAACCCAGTATTTTACCCTAGCGGCAATGTTGCCGTATTCTCTAATTCAGTGTCTGCAGCAGCTTTAAAGAATAGAACTATCATGAGTACCGGGAATTGACTGTATATATGACAGAGTTCGTTGCATGTTAATATGTAAATGTTATTCCACTGTTTTAGAATTCCAGTGTTAGAGATAAGAAATGTGATCCTGATCTAATTCTTTTTTTCCTTTGTTAAGTGATTGGACACTTTCTTCTGGAAGATTGTAAAGTTTCTGGGTTTTGTTTGGTTTGGTTGTTTGGTTGGTTTTTCTGGAATTTAAGAGTTTTACCAGAATGTACGTGTCTGATTTTCAGCAACACCTGTCAGGAACTCAGTCCTTAAAGCCTCAAGTCTTCCAATCAGTAATTTTCCATTATTTATCTCTTGTCATTTTTGCTGTGATGTGAGAAAGTTCTTCCTTGACCTTCAAGACTACAAGTGAGCATCTTTTCATCTGTTGAATTTTTAAATTTGAAAATCCTAATTTTGGGATCCAGAAAGTCTTTTTTTTTTTTTTTCCTCCTTTAAGAGCTTTATTTTAATCACCTTAAGTAACTTTCTTACTTTGGAGTTAAAGATCTAGCAGACCTTCTAGCACTTCTCTTTTGCTACCACCTATTCCTGGTGTTCTGCCTCCTCTTTCTCATGGCTGCTGCGTGCACTGTCATTTTCCATTGCATGATTGTGGCTCTGTTGATCTTTGAGGCTCTGGTCAGATTGTTCAGTTATGGCAAATACTTAGAAGTAGTGAGTTGTCTGCTCCTGTCAGTGTGCCAGGGAAAAGTCTTTGCTTTTTTCCCATGTTCTTAAGTGCAAAGGCCACTGACCTCAGGGATAGAAACAAAAATAATCTTCCCATCTATTCAGCCCCCGAATTGGCTGAATTGGCTCCTCTAGAGCCAGGCAGGTAGCAGACCCTCCCAGACTGCTCAGGAAGGCTTTAGTCACTTTAAATAACTGAGACAAGGAGCACCAGAAAGGAAATCACTTGATGAGGATAGAGGATGAGCTGCCAGAAATGTATAAGTGAGGATTTTGGCCAGTGGTTGGAAATGTGGATACATCTTTTAAAAATTAGGATTCTGTATAGCATTTTCTTTGTAATTATTATTATGGGTATAATCTATGAGGGTGTTAGTTGTAGAAAAATAAATAACATTGTAGTAGGGCCATGAAAAAGTAGAACTTTGGAATTTTTCTTCTCTCCTTGTTAATTTGATCTTGTTGGATCCAACTCTGTCCAAGTATAGAACTGGAAGAATTGGAAATGTACATTTGTTGTGCGAATAACACAATAATAGTGAAATATTTCTTAATCTAATGCTAACAGTGTTTAATTTAGTAAGGTATTTGGTTCCATTTTCTCTTTTTTCCACAATTTTGGTCTGTTGTTATCCCTGCTGCTTTTTGTAGGCCAAATAGTTTGATTTTAATGAGCATTATCTTACAGGTGCTGCCTATATAATAATCACCAGGCTAAGGACTGTATTGACTCCTTTGTTACTCACTGTGTTCGGGTAAGAACTGAAGTTTGGATCGTTGTGATGGATACTTTAAAAATTGTGGGGAGTGGGGCGCCTGGGTGGCTCAGTCGGTTAAGTGTCTGGTTGTTGGTTTCGACTCAGGTCGTGATCTCATGGTTTATGAGATCAAGCCCTATATCAAGATGCCTGCTTGAGATTCCCTCTCTCCCTCTTTCTGCTCCTTTCCCGCTCACACACAGGCACTCTCAAATAAAATTTTAAAAAATAAAATAAAAATAAAAATTGTGGGGTGTAATTCCTTCAGTCACATTCATTTGTGTTACTTTTTTCATCCAACAGTTCTTAGTCATTTTCCCCGAAAAAATGAAAAATTTCTGTCTGTTCTTGCACTTGAGTAGATAGCTTTCTAATGTGGAGTCTTCCTGGCAGGTCGTTAAATACTGAGGTACCTTTGATGTCCTCTCACTGTAACCCCCAGAGACCACACAAGCAGAATTAAGTTATGACCCCCATCTGGGAAAACAGAAGTTGTTAAAATTTTTTGTAAATGTGCACAAAAACTATTTTTGACCATATGAACAAGGAATGTTTGTACCAGCCCCAGATACTTCTCTTTGTGCTACCTTAATGAACAGGATTATAGTAAAATTAAAATTACTACTTGAGATGGGAGCACAAATTTTTTTCAAATATAGGGTAATTAGGAAAAAATATAAATCTTGTAGTGGATTAAATTAATCATAAATCATTCTAATTTAATTATATAAATTTCTTTTGGAGAACTGAAACAGTTTGGGAGGCCTAATTCCAGTTACTAAAATATAGCAAGGCACCTTGGGAGGGTGAAAGGAGGAGAACTAAAAGGCCAGATCTCGTCTGTATCATTAACATTTTATCATTGTCAGGAAGATCACTTCACTTTTCTATAAATTCCCCCGTCTTTAAGAAGTGAGGTATTAATACTGCCCCTGTACCTCATACATAAGCTAGTTATTGATCAAGTGAGATAATATCTATCAAACTGTACAAATTTAAAACAATTCTATTTGAAGGATCTTCTGATTCGCATTTCTTAAATCAGAGCATCTTACCATTCGTGCATATTGTCTGATTAGTGAAGTGTTAACAATATTTTAGGATATAGAATAGGAATTGAAGAACCTTAGGGTTTATAGAGAACAGTTGACCCTTGAACAACACGGGTTTCAACTTTGCAGGTGCACTCATGTACAGATTTTCTTCAATACGGTACTATAAATATAAATGTACTTTCTTAAGATTTTCTTTATAACAATTCCTTTTCTTTAGCTTATTCATTGTGAGAATACAGCATATAATGCATATAACATACAAAATAGGAGTTAACTGTTGATGTTATCAGTAAGTCTCCCAGTCAACAGTTGGCTATTAGTAGTAGTTAAGTTTTGGGGGAGTCAGAAGTTATATGTGGATTTTCAACTCTGCAAGATATAAGTGCCCCTAACCCATGTGTTGTTCAGAGGTCAGCTGTATCAGCCATTACTTAAGCCTTATAATTATTCTGGTATATTTAAAGTAGCACAGAAATGTTACCCTTGAACATTGGCTTATGGCTTGAGATCCTCAGAAGAGGAAACTATTCTCTTGGAATTGTGGGAAGATATCTAAAGATTGAAGTAACATATTTTTGCCATATGAAAACAGGTTTCATAAGTTTCCTTAAAAAGAAATACCTATGTAAGAAATACGCATAGTCCTGATTCTTACCTCCACAGTAATTTTTTCCCCTTAAACTAGATTTTGAAAACTTAGAATGTTAATTTTCTTTAGTGTCAAGAAATTTCACATTGGCAGTTAACAAATCGTATGTATTTGCAGCCATTCTGTAGTCTTATTCAGATCCATGGACATAATCGGGCTCGACAGAGAGATAAGCTTGGTCATATTCTTGAGGAATTTGCTACCTTGCAGGATGAGGTAAGAGCCAACAAGTTGCCCTCCCTTCTAAAATTAAGCAGTTCATTTACCTTGATCAGATTTTTAAAAACAGTTCTTTGGAACAACATTTTAACTATTTAAGTTTTTAGCATGATTAATTTACTTTTAACTTAAAATGTAACATTTCCATATATCAAAGAAAGAGTTTACAAAAAGAGAACAATAATCCAAACTGAGAAACCTCTTAAATTATTTCTTTGATAATCAGGATAAATTATAAAATATGTGTAGAACTATAGTTTTATAGCAAGTTCACATTCTAACAAAAATCTTAAGACAAACCATAAGAGACTCTTAAATACAGAGAACAAAATAAGGGTTGCTGGAGGGGAGGTGGGTAGGGGGTTGGGTTAAATGGGTGATGGGCCTTAAGGAGGACAATTGTTGGGATGAGCACTGGGTGTTATATGTAAGTGATGAATCACTAAATTATATTACTAAAATTAAAAAAAAATAATAAATTGATTTATTATGTAGCTGTGGAAAAGAAAACCTTAATATTCCTGTCAGCAGCAATATTAATTGATAACATAATTAAAAGCCTAAAGTCAATATTTTGTATTTTTGTTTTATAAAATGTCTTTTTAGTTTAAGGAGCATTTAGGTAAACATTATCCATTGTGAAATGGGAAGTTTAAATGTGAATGGAACCAAAAAATGTTTTGAAAGTATAAATTCTTTAGTGACAAGTTTTATATTTTCTGTCTAAATGCTATTTTTAGCTGTTTGTCGTTTTTTTTCATTCTTTCATTACCTTGAAACGAAAGTCCGTGTTATGACATTTTATTCTGATAGGCAGAGAAGGTTGATGCAGCCCTTCACACCATGCTGTTGAAACAGGAACCCCAAAGGCAACATTTGGCCTGTTTAGGTACCTGGGTCCTTTATCATAACCTGCGAATTATGATCCAGTATCTTCTGAGCGGCTTTGAATTGGAACTCTACAGCATGCACGAGTACTACTACATATATTGGTAAGAGAACAATTTGAGTTAAAATCGGTAGTGGGGAGCAAGTAGAGAAGATCTGAGAGAGCATCTGTAGAACAGAATATAGTTTCTGGGTACTTTTTCATTTAATGTGTTGTGGGACAATTGAAAAACATCTGTTAGAAATTAGAGCCAGATCGTCTTGAACATCTTCAAGTGCTGTAACACCATACATATGTTTTTTCCAGCCATTGAATGTTTGTTTCCAAATTAATAAAAGTGATTCCAAAGTAAATGGATTAATTGAAGAGCTTTTTTCTGTTTCTAGGGAGAAAAATCACACACATTTAGCTCTGACTTCAGTGACAATAGATGCTAGCTGTGGAATGTACTTAAGTGAATTAAAGTTCAAAATTTGAACCAGATCTTTCCTCTGAGAAGAAATGAAGATTATCATTGGGAGCCATAACTGTTGCATACTGCCACCCTGGGGGTTTCTCTCAGCAGTTTTGAAGGAGTTCATGAGAGCTGTCCTCCTCAGCCAATAGTTCTTTGCTTTCACTTGAAGATGAAATAGAGAAACGTAGTCAGAGGATACTTGGAAATACTTCAGGCACGGGAAAGCTGCCATAGAAAGAAAATAAATTGAGAGCTAATGGATCTTTTTTTTCAGTCTGGCCATGTATGGTGGTAAATAACCAGTGTTGCTTATCACAAACAGCTAAGTTTAGTATATCTTAATAAGGTTCATCTTTTTAACTCCTATTCGAATTATTTAACAGTAATTAAGATACTGTGTATTCCTTGGAGTCATCGCTATGAAGGAAGGAAAGTAATTCTTTTCCAAGCTGACATGGTTTTGTTATCATGGCTGCCAGGGCTCCTAACTTGGTTATGAAACTTGAATTTGAACATTGAACTAAAGTAATTCGAGAATAATATTATTTGCTATACCCTCTGACATTTATGTAGGTAACAACTAACTCTTACCAACAGGTGTTAATATAGCTACTTGGCATGTGTTTTGTTACTAACTCACAGTAGACAAAGTATCCAAACCAGACATTTTGTGGGGGAACATGCTCAAGTTCCTTCTCTGAGGTTTGAGTCAGCTTTTGGGAAGCTTTTGTGCTCTTGATTTCTCAGAATAAAATTTATATATATATGCTTTTTGGCACAAAGAATTGGGCTCTTAATTAGCAAATGATAATCAGATAAACACTCTATTAGAAACGTATCTGCATATTTGAGCAGATTCATTTCTTGTTAACGAAAAAAATTTTAGTTATGCCTGTAAATACCCTTGTGGTCTACATTCATGTTAGTTTTAACTACTTTTAGTTTCAAAATTATACATTGGGCTCCAGCATTTTCACAAGATAAACGTGTTACATTGTTCATGAATATCATCCCTAAAGCATGTGGGCCCTTTAAAAATCACCAGTGGAAAACATTGATTCTTAAATTCTGGAGTGCATCATAGTCACTTCTCAGTCCATCGAGCTCCTGGTTTAGCAGGTCTGGGATAGGCCTCCATCATTTGCATTTCTCACTAGTTCTGGCGATACTGCTGCTGGTCCGGTGATCACAATTTGAGAACCACTGGTCTAGAGTATCGGTACTTTGACTCTCCATAGATATGATTGTGTATTAATTTTGATAATGCACTTAAAAGCTCACTGAGATGTCTGATATTTGACAAGAAAAACATGACATGTGCCAGATTATCTCCTTCACTCATATATGCCCCTAGGGTTTGATATTTGGAAGGTAGAAGGCAGCATTCGTTCTCTATAGAAATCCTCTCATTGAGTTAAGATACCCTCAGATTTTGTAGTGTATTGGGGCGGGGGGGGGGGGGGGGATTCATTTGTATCCCATGTATTTGCAGGGGGATTGGAATTCATTTGTATCATGTAAAAGGATACTCTAAATGCCTTTCTTAAATTCACTGTCAGCAATTATTTTCATATGAAATTGTATGCTTTTTTTTTTTTTAATCAAACGAAAATATGTTTGCCAGTTTGCCGTTGCTACCAGGAAGCATAGCATTCAGTTTAACTTACAGTACCTAAATCATTCCAGGTGTTTGGGGTTTTTTTGGTTTTTTGTTTTTTTGCCAGTTCATACTGTTTTGATTTATCGAATGTGTGGGTTTTGTTTGGCTACAACAAAAAGGAATGTTGTTTATCCTAAGGTGTGTCTTCTGACTAGTTTTCGTTTTGCTTTAAAATATTTTTTTTTTGTAAATATTTTAATATTGTAACCTGCCTTACAACTTTTGGGGGAATTTTGGAAATACGAATTAAATGCTCATCCTTGATCATAATAAAATTTCTTCTAAAGCTTTGATTTTAGCTTAATGTAGTAGTGGTCCTTAATGTTTATTATGATTATGTTATAATCATAAATTTTCATATCCTAGATTTGAACTGCTTTTCTGGCATAGGAGAATGTAATGTTGGTTAAACTTCTGAAAAGTTAGTATTGGGTGTACTGTTATCTGTTTCACATTTCATTTATTGATTAAGCTCAAGTAAATTATAAGCCTGAATGTTCTTAATTTTTTAGAATGCTTTGGTATATAATGCCTACAATTCAAAATTTTTTCAGTATTAATTGCTTTCTTTCACAATTAATGGGAAAATAAAATATTTACTTAATAGGTTGAGGGTGAAGTGTGTTCTGATATAGTTAGTAAAAAGGAAAAAACAGCTTAATGGGCATTCATTTGATTTACATACATCATTATCAAGAAATTCGTAAAATGCATATCACTGTAGGAAATTAAACATTTTTGAGCATTGTCCAGCAACATATAAGTCTACAAGAAAGGAAAAGTTAACCATCTGTAATGCTAATTTCTTGTAAAATCTGTCAGTTATCTAATTGGATAATCCAGGGTTTGTTTGTTTTTTAAGATTTTTAAAGCAGTATTAAAAATATCTCTTTATTAAGAGATACATGTGATAAAGCTGTCTCGTGTAGACATCTTCCATTAACTCACATTTGGTACCCTTTAAGGTATCTCTCTGAATTCCTTTATGCATGGTTGATGTCCACGTTAAGTCGTGCTGATGGCTCCCAAATGGCAGAGGAAAGGATAATGGAAGAGCAGCAGAAAGGCCGGAGCAGTAAAAAAACAAAGAAAAAGAAGAAAGGTACTGTGGGCTATTTTTAAATTCAAGAAGTAACTAACGTTGGAGTGCACTTTAATTTCTACACATAAATAGATGCAGAGCCACATGTGCCTTGTTGTGGTTGAATTAGTCATTACACCTCAATTCTCACCCATCTTCTCTTGAGCCAAGTATAAGATAGACACTGAGTCCCACTGTTAGTGACATAAGCCTCCTTGGAGCCTTCCCTTGCTTTTCTTTTACTTCTTTGCTATTCCATGTGTTGGAGGGCCTTAGGACAAGATGACGTAGACACGTGGAGTATGCAGGCAAGATAAATTAAGGCACAAGGCAGCAGGAGATCCTTGATCTTTTGACAGAAGGCTGACAGCTCAGGAGGGAAGTGGGTCCCAAGCTGTGCTGGTCCAGTGGCACAGAAAGATGACCATAGAGCGTGGTGGGCAACTGAGGAAGAAGAAATGTTTCCGGGGCACTGCCCTCAGGATCACTAGGGAAGGGTACAGATACTGCTCCAAATGTTAACAAAATATTACTTTGTATTTCATGAGGGTTTCAACAGCTTGGGTGGGTTATTAAATGACTATAGCCATGGGTTTCCTATTTTAGAAGTTAAGTCTCTGTAATGGTGAATTCAAAAGAAACCCAAATTACTTCATACCAGAATTTTATGGTATTACTTATTTTAGGGAATATGACTTTTTAACCTTCCAGTTATATTTTATTATTTGTAGATTTTGTTCATAAAACTAAATTTAACCTGTGGGAACAAACTGTGAATTTTTAATTTTAGTAAACAAGGTGGAAGATTTTTTTTTAATTAGATTTTCTCCTGCAATAATGTGAGAGGAGGGGGAAAAGACTGGGTGATTTTCTTTTTAATTACAGTTCGCCCATTGAGCCGAGAGATCACAATGAGCCAGGCATATCAGAATATGTGCGCTGGAATGTTTAAAGTAAGTTGTCGCAAATGGAGTTCTTTTTGCTTTTCAACACATAGTTTAATTAAAATGGGCTTTCTTCTGTGATATTTCCAGATTCTGATTTCACCTTTGTGTTTATTAACCATCTGCTTGAAAATTACCTTTTGCCCAAGTCTAGTTTTCATTAATTTGTTTATCAAGTGTTTATCAAGTGTTTGATTATCAATTCGTTTGATTAACGGATATTAATTTAACACCCTTGCTGTGTGTCACATATCTTCTACTGAGTACATTTAAGGATACCGAGTCTAATCAGAGGTGATCCTTGTCTCAAGTGTCTAGGTAATGACGGGTCAGGTGACATGTGTGACACAAGTAATAAGAGAAGGAAGAGTTTATTTCTGGTTCATGATCAGAAGAGGTTTCTTGGAAGAGAGAGGTTTGTATTTCTTTAGGAGCATATTAGGAAAAGGGTGAGCTCCACAGCTTAAGCAAAGCACTTTTAGGAGGTAGTACATACTAATTAACTCGTAAGTTGTGCTTGGCAATTCGAGAGATTATTTGCTGCAATTTATATTCAAATACATAAAACAGAGCACGGACTTGTGTTTGAAAAACAGGACCTGCGCTTTTCGTATTATATCCTACTTTTTTTCTTTAGAAGCTTTTATTTGAAGGTTTCAAAGCTACTGTGAAAGCGTAAGTCCTAGAAAAATAATGTGCATGTGGTACAGTTTCACTTGGAAAGGTAGTGATATATTAAACATTGGAACTTGACAATTTTTTTTTTTAATTTTTTTTTTTCAATGTTTATTTATTTTTGGGACAGAGAGAGACAGAGCATGAACGGGGGAGGGGCAGAGAGAGAGGGAGACACAGAATCGGAAACAGGCTCCAGGCTCTGAGCCATCAGCCCAGAGCCTGACGCGGGGCTCAAACCCACGGACCGCGAGATCGTGACCTGGCTGAAGTCGGACGCTTAACCGACTGCGCCACCCAGGCGCCCCTGAACTTGACAATTTTTTATATAATGATGGCATATTACATAATGAATACTGAAGCCAGTTTTTCTCTTCCTATTTCTGTTTTCTGAGCCTTACAGTTGTTTTAGCCCTGTGTAAATAGCTGTTTCTTGTTTTCTATTCTGTATTAATAAGGATGTTCACTTTGTCGTGTTGATATAAACTTTTTTCTCATTTTCTTTTCCCTTTAGACCATGGTAGCATTTGACATGGATGGCAAGGTACGAAAACCCAAGTTTGAGCTTGATAGTGAACAAGTTCGATATGAGCACAGATTTGCTCCGTTCAACAGTGTGATGACACCACCGCCAGTGCACTATCTGCAGTTCAAGGTGATTTGGCTCATGAAGCAACTTACTGTAAAGCATTCCGTCTTAGACGTTAGGTCTTGTACCTAGCCATTGTATTAAAATGGTCCAATCCAACCATTATTGGGCAAGTGACAAGGTGGTAAAAGAGCAGTTTTAATTAGTGTGAAAATTACTTGGCTTTTTTTGGATGCACTCATCAAATTGAGAGTTACTTTAAGTACGAGGATCATAGGATCATATGGAGATTGAGAATTGAATATTACACAGGAAAAATAGGGACATATACCAAGTATTTGCATTAGTGTCTCTATATAAATCATGAGTCAGTAAAGAATTCTTTAATTAAAAAAGGTATTTTAGAGTTTTTCGTATTAAACATGTTTTGAATAATATAGCATTTCCCCCTTTTTAGGAAATGTCTGACCTCAATAAATACAGCCCTCCTCCTCAGTCTCCAGAACTGTATGTTGCAGCTAGTAAGCACTTTCAGCAGGCAAAAATGATACTGGAAAATATCCCAAACCCAGACCATGAGGTAAGACTGCAGTCATAGTAATTCTAGAGGAAAAGCTTGGCAGGAAACATGTATCTTACTACTGGATGACAGTTTATAAAAATGAACCTTAACAGTATTAATAGTGAAGCCTGTCGTGTTTTCGGCAAGGATTTTAAATGGCTTTGCTTACCCTAGCCTTTTAAGACTTAAAATTTATGTGATGAAAGTAAATGCTCTTTTGTGCAAATTTAGAAATCAGTGCAAGGAGAAATTAAGACATAGAACCGTAAAATGAGTAGGAAGAACACAAATAAGATCCAAAATGATCCACAGTTCAGAAATGTTAACATATATTTATTTTAATGTGTAGTTTACTATATTGAAATATAATTATATAAATCTTAAAAATATTAAGAATGAGGGGCACCTGGGTGGCTCAATCGGTGGCCATCTGACTTTGGTTTAGGTGATGATCTCACAGTTCGTAAGTTTGAGCCCCATGTCGGGCTCTCTGCTGTTAGCACAGAGCCCGCTTCGTATCCTCTGTACCCACCAATCTCTCTGCCTCTCCCCCACTCATGCTCTCTCACTCTAACAATAAATACACTTAAAAAAAATTTTTTTTTAAATATGAAAAATGATCTAGTTATTTATCACAGGAAGTAAAAACCTTATTCCACTTGACCATTTAAAATGCTAGTTCGAACACTTTGAGATATCATCATACAGACCTTAGAACTTGTAGAATACTAAAGTTGTGCGGTCTTGTTATTTTCACAGTTTGCTGTGTACCTAATCACATTGAAATGCATGTATTCCGTAAATGAGAATGCATTGCCTGTAATACTCAGACTGTTTTGGGGAGTGTGTCTTGGTACAGCTTCCATGAAAGAGAAGTTAATAGCAATTCTCTGTTTTTTTTTTTAATTTTTTTTTTTTCAACGTTTATTTATTTTTGGGACAGAGAGAGACAGAGCATGAACGGGGGAGGGGCATAGAGAGAGGGAGACACAGAATCGGAAACAGGCTCCAGGCTCTGAGCCATCAGCCCAGAGCCTGACGCGGGGCTCGAACTCACGGACCGCAAGATCGTGACCTGGCTGAAGTCGGACGCTGAACCGACTGCACCACCCAGGCGCCCCGCAGCAGTTCTCTGTTTAAAAACACAGATGCTTAGGCCAAGCAGTTCTGCTTCTTGGGGTTTATTTTTTCTGCATGAGCACGTGTGGGAAGTGAGTGCTTAATACACAACAGTATTCGTTGCAGCAGGATTCTGATGGCAAAGAAAGGAAATTTCACTGTCCCTCAGTCGGGACTGTTAAATGAATTACGATACATCATATATTGCAATAAAAGGACAACAGAAGATCTTTATGTACTGTAATGGGATGTTCTTCAAGATACAAGAAGTTTAAAAAAAGCAAAGTAATAAACTGTGTATAGTATGCTGCCAACAAGTCTGTGTGTATGTGTGCAAGGATTATGGGAATATAATATATCTCCAGAAAGATACATAGGAGTTGATAACAGTGTTTGCTTCTTAGGAGGGGAACTGAGTGCCTTGGGAAACAAGGATAGGAGAGAGATGACTTTTTGTCGTGTATAACCATGCAATAAAAGAAAATACAAGGGGAGAGGAAGGTACCTATAATAGCATAGATTTATTTCAGTGGACTTCATTCATTTACTCAACAAATAGTTGTCTACTATGTCCTCAGCCCTGTGGTAAAAAACTAGTGGGGGCCCCTGGGTGGCTCAGCTGGTTAAGCGTCCAACTCTTGGTTTCAACTCAGGTCATGATCTCGTGGTTCTTGGGTTCAAGCCCCACATCAGGCTCTGTGCTGACAGTGCAGAGCCTGCTTGGGATTCTCTCTTCCCCCTCTCTCTGCCCTCCCCTGCACGTGCTGTCTCTCTCTCTCAAATTAACTTAAAAAAAATTTTTTTTAATAGTGAAAAAAAATAGACAAATCCCAGCCCTCCTGAGGGCAGTGGAGGCTAGTGTGTGGCAGACACCAAATAAATAATAGAGTGTACTAGAAGATACTAAGTACTATGAAGAAAAATCAAGCTAGGAATGGGGATAGCAAATAGAAGTAGGGAGGTGGGAGGGGGATGAGGCATTTTTTAATTAAGATGGCCTGTGAGCAAATCTCAGAGGGAGGTGAGAAAGCAAGTCACAGGGCTACAGGAATGGAGCCCTGTGGGCAGAGGGATCTGCATGTGTACAGGTGCCTAGGCCACTGCTGGAGCGGGGTGAACAAGGGGGCGCTGCTGGAGAGTTTTGAGCAGAGCAGTGACCAGAGCGGATTTTTGTTCTGAAGGATCACTCTGGCCCTGGTGCTGCAAATAGACTGTGGTAGGGGCAGAGGTGGAAGCAGAGGAGCCAGTTGGCAGGCCACAGCAGTAATCTGGTGAGAGATGGTGGGGACGGTGGAGGTCATCAGAAGTGACTGCATTCTCTTGAGTATGCCAAGGTCAAGATGGATCGGATGTGGGTGAGGAAAAGAAGAGTTAAGGAGGACATCAGGGTTTGGGCCTGAGCCCCTGCATGGATGGAGCCAGTGGGGAGGGCTGCGGGTAGAGCAGAACAGGTGGGAGCCAGGGCTGGGAAGTCAGGAGCTCAGGTTGGGAGGTGCCCGTTAAATGGCCAGACGGAGCTGTCATCTGGACAGGTGGATGTGTGATGAGGCTGAGGAGAAGCCATTCCAGACCTGCAGTGAGGGGTGTTTCTGGAGAGAGGTCAGCAAGGAGCAGTGGGAACATTTTTCCTCAAACTGCACACTACTGCCTTTTAAGAGGAATACAGCATTCCTGTCCTCTGCTGTTCATGTCTAGGGGAAGGCTCTTGAGCGAGTAGTAGTCAGGAGTGACTGTAAACACAGGACACTGCCTCCCTGCCCCTGCCGGGTGTGGTTCCCAGCTCACAATACGTATTAGCTCATTTAGTAACCCTCCCAGCATGTCTGCAGGATGAGTCACATTATTGCCCCCATGTTTATAGATGAAGAAACTGAGAAACAAAGAGGCTAAAGAACTCAAAGGTTTCATAGCTAGTACCTGGCAGAGGTGGGATTTATAGCAGACAAACTGCACAGTCTGGGCCACACCAAGTGCCCTGCTGCCACCTCTGCAGCCTGACATTCTTCAGGTTCAATGAGAGGGAGACCTAGGGGCCCTTCTAGGCTGTCAGGGCTGACCAAACTAGAGCCCTGTGGAAAAGTATGTCTGTCCATGTTGCTCAATTGCCTTTGTTTAATAAAGCAAAAATAATAAAAATTTAAAAAAATCTAAAATGTAAAGACATAAATGAATTTTATGTTTTGATAGCTTAATGTTGCTCATTGTTTAGGTCAATAGAATTTTAAAGGTTGCCAAACCCAACTTTGTGGTCATGAAGTTATTGGCAGGAGGACACAAAAAAGAATCTAAGGTAAGTACATTGTGGGGAAAATAAATGGGTGTTAAATTATTGTAAAACCTTTTTTAAGTAAGATGCATAAATATTATTACAAAAAGAATTAAAACATTCAAAAAAGAGGTTCATCGGCAGAAAATAACCTGAGTGTACCATTTTGCTTTGAAACGGAGAGATTTTATGGACTTGGTTTCTAAAATCTGCCCTTCAATTCCCCTCCCTCCCTGTGTAAATTACCAAATGACTTGGAGTAAAACAAAATGTGTGAAAACAAATTTATGGAAAAAAGGTAAAGACTTTGTTGAATGGCTTAAGAGATGGTAAATTCTTTAAACTTCTCTTGCTGGTGGTGTTACACCATCAGTGCCGTATCAACATGTGGTGTGCTGCTAACCATTTGCCCATTACATGTACCTGTTTATTCCTCGAGCTTCTTCCTGTCTGGCTTCCTTTTCTTCCTGTCTGGCTTATCTTCTGCCTTGCTTTATTAGATACATCTCATTGCTTGGTACTCTGTTGACCCAGGAACTAAAAAACGCGCTATGACTCTTTCCCGTAATTTAAGTCCATTTTCCTTTAAGTGTTCTTTCATAAACCCAGAGATAAGCTAGTTTTCCTTCCAGTTTAGTTTCTAACTTGTCATTAAACCAGTTTTGTATCTCTTGTGCTGTCTTACCTCTAAAATCTGGAGAAACTCTAAAAAACTGTACTGTCTGAATATTTGTAAATACATTAGTTTACTTTCCACCTTTCTTTACAGGTTCCTCCTGAATTTGATTTCTCTGCTCACAAATATTTTCCTGTTGTGAAACTTGTTTGAGAGACTGAAAGGGTCATAAAGGGGTAGAATCTACTTTCAGATTCTAAGAGGATCCATCCGTCAGTCTTACCATGTAACGTGAAGTGAAATGGATTTCTTAGATAACAACCTATTATAAGAAATACTTTTAATTTGACAGCCTTATACGACGTGAATGAAAACTGCTGTTTTAAAGTGGTTTGTTATGTTCCATGGATGAAACTGGTCTTACTGAATGCATCGATGAACGTTCTATGGTTTTATTACAGATTTAATCATAAATCATTTTTTATGAATGAGTGAAAATAGTGTTTGTAAAGGTTAATAAATTTCTTGACAAAAAAATGCACCACTGGAAATTAGAAACAACAGCACTTTGTTGATGCATGTTAAGAATTGAAGGTGTTTACACTTAAAGTCATTCAAACAGATTATTCAAAAGTTTCAAAACAAGGGATTTAGCAAACACTTGTATGGGGTTTTGGCAAAATACATTTAAAGGGAATGGCGGGTGGGGGGGGCTCTAGACTATATAGGGAGACCAAATTACATGGGGATTGTGATTTTGTGTGTCATGATGTCTTAAATTATATACCTGTAAGAATATAGAGGTTTTTAAAAACATCCTTTAACTGTCCTTTTGGCACTTTTAAAACATTATGCGTAATGTTGGCTAGTGACATTTTCAAAAGGTAGGAATGTATAGATTATGTGTAGGGTTAGGTTTAAATGTGGCATACTCCTTTTTGGTTACTACTAAATACTCAGTTTAACCTGTGAAATATTTTCAAGTGGGGATCTTTCCAGGATCTGCTGGCTTGGAAAACAGACTTCAGTCCACCTGTACCTGCAGACCCATCGCTAGAGACCCCACCCTTCCTTCGCTGCACATCCATCTTCCTTTCTCATGCTATCAGGGATTTTTATTCTACTTTAGATGGTGTAATTTGTCTCAACTAGTGAGGGCCTTGGTTTACAAAACTCATTGTATGAAATTTATACATAATTTAAAGATGTCAAGTTCTTTGACTTTCCCAGAGATGTGTTTCACAGGCACACCAACGATGAAGCATTTTACTTTAGCTTTTTAAGTGCATATGAGAATACTAACTTTGAGTAAGCCTTCAATGTATACATTATCAGAATTTTATAAGCCATTTTCTAAGGGACAGCTTAGTACACTTTGTACTGCTCTCTGAGAAATAACACATACCATTATTTACACAATTAAGCCATTTCCCCAACTCAGACACTAATGAACATTTTCAAAGCCTAAGCTGACAATGTGAAAAAATATATAACCCAGTTAATGGAATCTTCTTGTGTTTTTTCTAAAATTCACTTCAGAGACCAGCATTATAAGTTGAGTGTCCTATAAACTATCAATTATTTGTAATTAATAATCTCTTGGAGTAGACTGATCCCTTGGACCTTAAAGAACCTTGAATTTGTACCTCAGGTTCCACTGTGAATGGATAACCAGATACTACCAGCTTAAACAATCCTGCTAGTTATTGGTCTAGTTATAGAATGACAGTGCACAGACTTAACAGGGATTGGTTTATTTCTCAAATTCCATCACATGAAAGTACATTATGTGCAGTGCTTACACTTCAGGAAATCTCATTGAGTCTTGCGTAGGGAATCTGCAGTCCCGTCTGTAGAAAAAAGATGAATCCTCACACTCCTGTCTACACGCCATTTTGAGTACAGAGGAAAAGGTGTGAATTTAAAAGTTCGCACCTATTAAAAATGGGAATAGGTGATTTAATTTTGGCTGAAACCAAAAAACCGAAGTGTAGGGGATTTGAGATCTACTTGCTTATTACACAGGTTTTTAAAATAAAACCACAACACATCTATGAATCGTTGCCTTGCAATAGGTGCCTGCATGATCTCAAGGTAAGCCAGGGGTAATAAAGCACGACTGTCTGGAGAAACAGCTCACAGGACACCCCTCCTGAACAAATGGCCTTTGGAGCCTCAGCACATGAAGATGGAATCAGTGTGGTTATTTTTTTTTTTTTATTTATATTCATGTCCCAGCTCAGTCCACAAAAGGTTTAATAAGGCAAATCACCACCCTTAATCCAGTTTGCAAGCTGATTCTTCAGGGAACCAATAGGGCATGAAGGGAAAACAAAGCAATTGGACTAACAGTCCTTTATTTCTCAGAACTCTGCACACTGATTAAACGTGAAATGAAGAGACTTTATTAATTACTGAAAAAGCAAAACTATCAGCCCTAAGGCTAAGACACAAAGGGAAGTTGGACAAGGACTTAGATAAAACCTTACAAAGCTGTGTTTAACACCCTTCTTTGCCTTTTCCAGGTGGAAGAGTTTAATCTTAGTGATTAACAAGATATCCTACGTGAGTAACATTCACATTGGAGATCTTAACCTGAATGCAAACCAGGTCCTGCCTTCAGGGCCTGCTAGGGGTATGGGGAGTCCAGACCAGCTGAGGGGCCGGTGTCCAGCTTGCCAGCTGTCTGGCCTGCAGGGCTCTAACTTCTCTGGGTCCCCATTTCCTAATAAGCATCACCACCCACTTGCCCTTTAGAGGGCCTGAGAGTCACACAAGTGTGACTCTGCCAGTCATTCGTAAGTGGCAAGAGCCTATTTACCAGAAATACTGAGAAGCAGCTCAATGTGAATTAGGATTAGTCCTTTTCAAATTAACATTGATTTTTAAATCACTGTTTAAAATAGTCCTCTACTACGAGCCAAACATATAGACTGCCAAAAACAACTTGCGTTTCTCCAGCCTTTCTAAACTTTCCATCTGTGTAACAACTGTATATACCCTTAAGCGTCAGCTTCCTGTCCTCCTGTAGTGAACGGGCAGTCTGTCCACAGCAAACACGCCACCGTGTGCCTTGCTGCCCTCCATGCTCTAGCACAGCCCCAGGATCAGCTCTGCTGCTGCCCCTGTAGTGGCAAAAGTCAATCCGTTTGTGGCTCTTGGTAATACGGACTTCTTAGAGACAATTTTGCTTTGCCCACACACATAACTAAGCAAAGTAAGAACACCAATGTTCAAATTATAAGTCACTTAGAAGCATTTTTGTACATTAATGACAAAGGTTATACAAGTGGTCTTTTAAAAATTTCTCACAAAATGTCTCTGTCTACAGACTTGTTTAAAACTGCTGGTAGTGATGTTTGCATTAACAGTTTTGCGCTCTAGGCCACAGAATGAACCCGAAGTGAGCGCATGACAACATAAACCAGTAATCATTCATTGCTGATCGGGGAGAACAGAAATACCAAGCTGGTACCTGCTGCTCAGCACAGCATGTGATGGGGACACCAGAGGTACTAGAGAAGAATGCCCAGGTGTGGTGGGTCTTCTTGGTGTCAGAAGACAGACTCTTCCTACAGGCTCTGATTGTTTTCAGCAAAGTTACATTCCAGAAGAAGTGCCACTGTCACCATACTTGCAGGAAACCTTGGGTTCTATTTTTGGTGTTGATCTTCTCTTACCTATCAGCTGACAAACTGACACCATGGTACACACTTCAAAAATACCCCCCAAAAACCACCTAACAGACCATCATTTTCCTACATAAAATACATATTAAAACTCCACAACAATCATCTTTAGATGTGTATTTTACTTAGTACATTTCACAGTATTCAACCCCTCATAAATATTTTGTAGTGATCTCTGTTCAATCCTGACATCAAGTACAGGATTCCAATCGATTCAGAGTGTGTGATTCCTCTTTTCACGCTGATCAAGTAAATTTATCATGTCTCCTTTCTGATTTTCAGCATTAAGAACTAAAAAAGAAAAAAAAAACCACACATAATATTCTGATATTAAAACATTTAGGAAAACCAGCCAGGCAGGCTGCATTTGACCCAAGTGTCCAGAAATTGCCTCATCAAGAAGACAGCATCTCCCATGGCAATATCATGGGGCACTGCATTCCCAATCAAGGACAGCAGAGCAAAGAGGCTACAGGTCTGGCCACAAAGGTGCCATGAAATAAAGCCATCAAATAAAAACTCCCTATTTAAAATAGTGAAATAATGCCCCCATTGCCCTCTAAAATGGACAATACAAAATGTACTAACATTTTTTTGATACCACAACCCTTGTGTGTTGCTCACATCCCTTTTGTGAAACTGACAGGAAGCCCGACGCAGGCACTGCAGTGCATCTACTGCCACCCCCCACCCCCGTCAGCTCTACTGCAAAGTCTTCCCTTTACGGAGCCGAAGCCCAAAGCCTCCCTGTAGCTCGACTGTCCTTGCTCTATCCCCTGACACACAAAGGACAGGAAAACACCTCACAAAATCTAAGACCACCATGCTGACTTAACAACTACTACATATTAAACGGTGATTTGCTTAAATGAATTAAATGGCTGCCTTGAATTAATAACTGTCTTTTAAAGTTCTCTATTCAGAGTGCCTGTGTGGCTCAGTTAAGCATCGGACTTCAGCTCAGGTCATGATCTCACAGTTCCTGAGTTCAAGCCCCACGTCGGGCTCTATGCTGACAGCTCGGAGTCTGGAGCCTGTTTCGGATTCTGTGTCTGTGTCTCTCTCTGCCCCTCCCCCGTTCTCTCTCTCAAAAATAAAACATTTAAAAAAAACTTTTTTAAATAAAAATCAAAAAGTTCTCAAAGCTGGAAGGAATGCCTTTTTCTAACCTCCCTGGAGTCAACAGGGTCTGAAAACTATTTTAATGACATGATGGTGATAATTCTTCAACTTAAAAGAGCTGACAGAGCATTTTTCTCTGCCTCTGTCCTCGCTTTGTTGGAGCACCTGAGTGTAGGGGATGAAAGCCCAAAGCTTCACTGCAAAGCCAGACATTTAGGACACTACTGATTTAAAAGGATGGTGAAAGAGGTGTAAGGCAGTAACCACACCAGAAAAGGTGTGCAATCCTCCAAGGACTGAGGTGCAACCAATGATAAGGAACAGAAAAATTGGCTTTGTATTTGCTTAAAATTCTGACTTGCTAATGTGTTCATGTTCTGCATTAAATCGCCTACACAGTCTGAAAATAACTTAAAAATCAAGTTAGGATTCCCATTTCTAGAACCCTCAATTCTACCAACTATAGTCACTGACATGCTGGATGAAATATGAAAAGATATTTTAAAGAAGCACTGTTGAATCAAACCCAAATTGGGGGACTTTCTACCAAATAACTCGCTACAACACTTCAAAAACTATCAACGTCGTAAATGGTGAAGACAAATTGTTTGGGGTTAAAGGACCCAAGGAGGTATGACAATAAATGCAGTGTTTAATCCTGGATTTAGATCTTGGGCCAGAAAAGTGGTATTAGTTGGACACTTCACTACGTTAGAATAATAGCATTGTATCAGTATTAATGTCTTCATTATAAGATGTTAACATTTGGGAAACCTGGGTGAAGGGTATATACTATTTTAAATTATTTTTAAGTTAAAAAGTTAAATTTTAAGATACTACAATGCATCGTCTATAATAGAAAAAAAGGAATAAATAAAAGGGAATCTGGGGCACCTGGCTGGCTCAGTCAGTTAAGCATTCAACTCGATTTCAGCTCAGGTTGTTGTGATCTCATGGTCATGAGATGGAGCTCCGCCTAGGACTCCATGCTGAGTGTGGAGCCTACTTGGGATTCTCCCTCTCTGTGCCCCTCTCTCACTCTCTCTCAACATAAATAAACGTTAAAAAAAGAAGAAGGAATCTATGAGGCCAAAAATGAAGTAAAAGTTAGAACTCCTAAAGGTAATAAGCATCAAAGCTACACCTGCCCTGAGGACTTCTGAAGCCTGAAGACTCCGGGCTTCTCCCTTCATAGCATCAAAAGATGCAGAGGAACAAAACATAAAGATGAGGACTGCACTCAAGGCAGCAAGTCCAGAAGCAGACCCATATATAAAACTGAAACTCCCAAATGCTCATGTCCTTGGTTTAAAGGTAATGGAAAAGTGGTGCAGTGAAAATGGGCAACAAGAAAACCTAAGTGGTTAGAATACGGGACTTCTTAATCAAGACGACCATGCAAGTGTATAATTTGAACTCATTTTTCCTATGTGAAACAAAAAAATCCGAAGAGAATTTACTGAAGTGGTAGTGAGTCTGTAACCCTCCTTGAGACTAATAGAGGTGAATGATCTCTAGTGCAATACTACTCTCAGTCCCCTGAGACTTCCTACAGATAAAGTTCCCAGGAAACTAGCTCACAGTTAAAAAGCACAAAACACAAGGAAACAAGCTATCATGAGGACAATCTGCAGAAACAAAAGAAATACCCATAAGGTTTTCAGACACTGCAATTGGAAAACATGGTATAGAAAACTTGGAGATTATATATATTTTTTAATGTTTGTTTATTTTTGAGAGAGATAGCATGAGTGGGGGAGGGGCAGAGAGAGGAGACACAGAAATCTGAAGCAGGCTCTAAGCTGTCAGCACAGAGCCCGACACAGGGCTTGAACTCATGAACTGCAAGATCATGACCTGAGCTGAAGTTGAATGCTTAACTGACTGAGCCACCCAGGTGCCCCAAAACTCAGATATATTTAAAGAAATAAAAGATGTCTGAAAATAGGAGCAAGGAATAAGAATACTTAGAAATGAAAGCAAAGCATGAATTAAAGAACAGAGAAGGCATAGCTGAAGGAAAAAATGGTGAACTAGAAGGAAAAATTGGTGAACTCTGATTTCTGAGGAAATCATTCTGAATGCAGGGTAGAGAGGCAGAAATGGGTAACAGGACGGGCGCCTGGGTGGCTCAGTCAGTTAAGTGTCTGACTTCAGCTGAGGTCATGATCTCACAGTTCATGAGTTTGAGCCCCGCATCAGGCTCTGTGCTGACAGCTCAGAGCCTGAAGCCTGCTTCACGTTCTGTGTCTCCTTCTCTCTCTGCCCCTCCCCTACTCACGCTCTCTTACTCTCTCAAAAATAAACAAACATTAAATAAATTTAAAGAAAAAGAAATGGGTAATATGAAAAAGGGGGTAAGAGACAAGAAAAGAATGGTAAGGTCTTTTTTTTTTTAATATGATAGATTTTTTTTTTTAGGTTTATTTATTTTGAGAGAGGGTAGGGGAGGGGCAGAGGGACAGAAAGAAAATCCTAAGCACGCTCCACACTATCAGCACCAAGCCTGATGCAGGGTTCAATCTCGTGATCTTTGAGATCATGACCTGAGCCAAAATCCAAGAGCTGGACACTTAACTAACTGAGTTCCCCAGGATCTAACATTTCTGACCTGAGTTAAAGAAGGAAAATGGGAAGAAGTATTATTCAAAGAGATCTTGACTGAGATTTTCCAGAAGGACTAGCTGTTACACTTAGAACATGGTGGTACAGTGTGAGTAAGCCGAGAAACCAATGGAACAAAAAGACCAAAAAGTAGATCTGAGTACAAATGGAAATCTATTTGGTAAAGGTAGTGCCTCAAATCACTAGCTTTGAGATGGTGTTGGGCCAAATGAACGGCTCTTCAGACCAAGAAAATTGGACCCAAACTTGTGCCACATACTTGAATACATTTGATGTTAATCAAATGAATCGGAGATCTAAATGTAAAATATAAAACCAGATGATCCTGGAAAGACAGTGGCAAGAGTGACACAGTTTTTGAACCTCTGGGTCCCCACATGAAGCCACTACATTAAAAAACTCAAAAACCACAGACATTCACAGCAAGAGTAGATGACAAGGAATCCTGCAGACCCCAAAACACAGGCAGAGACAAACAGCAGCAGACAGTGTCTAGAAAAAAAATGGGAGCAATGGAGCACCTGATGGACCTGAGAAGAGGAGAAAAGAACCCCAAACAGGCAACACATTTACACCAGAAAGTACTGGGCCAATGTACAAACTGCAGCTTGAAGCAAGAGGGTTTCTGCCACCCCCACAGCAGGTGACCACAAAGTGGCCATGGCAAAGACGAGGGGGCTGGGGGAGGCTGAGCCCCACAAACTTCTGAAACTCATCTGCTGGGGCTCCTTCCCACATAGAGCCCCACGAGCAAAAAAAAAAAAAAAAAAAAAAAAAAAAGAAAACTCAGCTGAGTGTGAAGGAGAGCAGAGGCTGAGTAGGGACAAGGGACCTGAAAAGCAGATAAAAGTGGGGAAGGTCCCACTAGTCAAAGAAGATGGGACAACTTGAACTTCAAAAAGAATAATAAATACAACTAAATGAAACCCATCAAAATAGGTTTAAATCCATTAAGTTTGTATATTTAAAATCATCACCTTCAAAGGATAACAGGAAAAATATTTCATTATTGTGAAAATTGATAAATAAAAAGAAGCATTTATCCTACGTTCTATGCCTAAAACCACTGACTTGCCTATTTATAAAAATATCCCAATCAACCAATGAAATAGAAATGGTTCAATTAGAACACCACCACCAAAGAATTAAGGAAGGCACTGAACATCAACTGATCCTTCCATCACAAAACAAAGACATTACTTGCCTCCTGATGAAAGAACATACCACCGCCTACCATGTTATCACAGGCTTGGAATCAAACAGAGTCTTATCAAGCCTCTGGATATCAGCTGCCAATTTACAGGAAACAGAGCAGAAATAAGAACATACTAAGTTGTACTATGAATATATAACCAGCACGGTATAGACTGTGGAAAACTCCAGGGCAAATGGAGGAAAGGAATGGAAGGGGAAGCTGTAGACTGAGAGAGACTTAAAGATGTATCAATTCTAAGAAAATGGGAAAAACTAAATTATGGTGTTCAGGGAGACCCACTTGAGCAATAAACCCATAAAGCAACTCAAGAAAACGCTTACTAGATGTGGGGAATAAGTTTAAGAATTCTCGGAGTTTGCACCAATAGGTTAACAAAGCTTAGGGTGGAAAGCCGCCACAGGACGAAAGCGCTCATCGTAGAACAAAGCACAGAGCGGAAAGCCACTTCCACAGAAAGAAAGTGTCTGTTCGAAAACAGGTAGAGGCGGAAAGCCATGGCAGCAGGGCAGAAATGCCCAGGGTTAGTCATTAAGTAAAACAAAGCACAGGGTGCAAAGCCACCACAGGGTGAAAATGCCCAGAGCTAATTAGTGAGAAAAATACCTTGTTGACCCTGAGGTAGCATGCTCTGTCTTAGCCCCTAGAAAAGCTAAGATAAACAGACATAGCACCTGGTGCCTGCCATAAACAGCCATCTGCTCAGCACTGGGATTTTGTTTTGTATTGACCCAAACCCCTAACACCACATATCTCACACCCGAGTTAATGATCGCTGTTTCATTGTCTCTTTCTGCACGTACATCATGTTTGTAAGCCTTCTGATCCTAACAAAAACAGAGCAAGGACCCTTTCTCAGGGTTCTTGTTTCCTCCCGGACATTAGCCTCTCTCATATTCAATTCTGCATCCACTCTCTTGTGGGACAAGAGAGAACTCCAGACTCAAAATCTGCGACGACTAGAAAGATCAAGATAGGGGATAAGTCTAGGGGATGGGGAGAAGGGGGAGGGGAGGACATAAAAGATTTTAAAAGTCATATGACAGAAAGACACTATACAAAACCAAAAATCAAACTGGGAATAAGTATTTGCAACTGACATCATGGATAAAGGGCAATCTCCCTAGCATATAAAAGAACTCTGAAAAACTAAGAAAGGAAACACCAAGAATCTGACAGAAAAATGAATTTTAAAAAAGGGAACCAAGGAAGCACAGGATACTAAAACAAGAGTATGTGGCTGGAGGGATCCTTCAAGAACAGGAGGTAATAGATGTGAGGGGTGACAGGGTCAAGAAAGCCACCAGTAGACGGGGTGTCCAATGGATGCTAAAGCCACACCATTTCAAAGCATCCCCCTCAAGTGACAAAGGGAAGATGGACCTTCACGATGTCAAGACCTGGCAGGCAGTGCTGTCAACAAACCAGTATGTGCCTCCCGGTGTGAAACAAGAAGAGCACATACAGCTACAAGATGTCCAACTGGAATCCAATCACAAGCCAATGGACAAATCCAGAATCTGATACATCCCACTGCCCTGCATCCTTTAAAAATTCAAAATAATAACACAAAGTGCCACTATAAAAAGCTGCTTGGAAGTACTGTGCAGACAGTGAGGCCTTTTGACTGTTGCTACAGAGTGACCAAGTGCTGACCTAGCCACTCTGTCAGGAAACCCCTAGAAGTCACGAAGACAAATGCTCCAGCTGATACCCGAGGGCTTTGGCCCCCTGAACATGCAGATTTTCTGAAAGGTCTTCATCTTGGGCTTCTCTGCCATCCCCTCCCTCCACTGCACGATGTTTAAAGGCTTCTGAAGAAAAGAAAGTCTCCTTCAAATGATGGATTACTTACAACAGTAATGTTGGGACACATTGTTTAGTCACTGCCAAAGTGAAGGACCACAAGGGGAAATGCAAGGCGAACCTCCCCACCCCCGCCTCCACTACACTTCTTACCATTCAGATTTCTGTCATTCCCTGCAAGGGCTGCCTGCTTGTCTGTTTCCGATTCTGCCTCATTTTCGTCCATGTTGTAGTCCTCCTCTCCTCCCAGCTTCTGCTGTTTTCTCCCTGCAAACAAGCACAGGCACAGAGCACACAACCCACATCATTTCTCTCTCGAGGCCATAGGGGCACCCGAGCCCAGGAACTGGGGTTTTCCGGGTGACAGCTTAATGATCTGGTCTTTCTGTGACCTCTCGGGAGGCAGGGAGGACTTGTGTGCCTGCTGCCCGAACAAACAGCAGGTACGAGGTCTCTACTTATGTTCTGTCCAATTAAACTCTGAGTCCATATAAACCATGGCCCTCAACACAGGACAGTACTCAGGGCTGGAACTGAGGAACCTAATGAATTAAACCATATTCCAGTTTTCTGAAGAGACAATCCACTCAAGGTTAAAGGAAGGCACCACTGTTGCTGGAAACAACAGGTTTCTAGTTAATGACGGCACCTCCACAGAAGGGCTGGTGACTGACAGAAGGAAATAGAGCAGCTATTGGGAGTCGAAGGATGGCTTTTTCCATCCTGCCTACACAATTCAACTATTCATCACTTAAGTCAGCCCCACAGAGAACAACCAGAAAAGATCAGGACGAAATGCGTTCAAGAGACACGCTCGTAGGGTTTCACGTGAATGTCTCATATACACATATTGATAGACTTCACTCTGGTATGCTTCCCTCTGCTCACTGCCTGACATGGAAGTGAAGCACATGCCTTTGGCCCCTACCACTTTCTTGTACAATCAGGTCACTACAAATGCCCCAGGACGACGTGTATCCTGCAGGCCCTGCGGGACCTCGAACCAATCTTCAGCTGTTACGCTCCACGGCCAGTCTGAAACCTGAGAGTCACTGGGTCGGCTCCCTGACTTTCCTTTTCTTTTTAATTCTTCAACTGCACCCTCGTGAGAGCACATTCCTCAGAAAGAGAAACTTGAATACAAATTCGATCGATAGAACATCAAGGTAATTTTCACAAACAAGCACATTCCCACTCCTGTTAGTTTACTGGGTCATCCCACTGACAGGTATCTTCTCTTCCTAAGTGTTCCTGGCTCAGTGGGGAGTGTGAAGTCTTCCACACTACTTTTAGGGACCCAAGTACACCCCAGGATACTGTGCTGATCTCCATTTCCCACAGTTTCGTGTGCCTTTAAAGAAAAGTCAACGAAACCAGAGACGGAGGAGTCACGTGTCACTTTGCTGCAATGCTCACATCGGCACGAAACCCCCTCTACCCAGTCATCCCTCCCTCCCCAGGGCACCGGTGGCAACACCACACCACGTGAGGCTGCGGAAGATGCAGGCCAGGCGTGTGGTCCAGCGTGGGCTACGTTCACAAGGCACCTAGCACCCACGTCAGGCCTTCCCGAGACGCGCCCCCCCGCCCCCCCACCGACTCCCTGTGAACCTGCAACTGGTGCGAGCACACAGCTCTTCCCTCCTGCCTCCCACTCGGTAAGACACCCAAGGAATGAGACCAGCGGATGGCAAACTGCTGTTCGGGAAGCTTCCTAGGGGCCCCTCCAGTGTCAGGGGATGGTTGGTGGAAAGGAGTCTGCGGACTCCCACAGAGCAGCTCACGCACCTTCCTCATCAGCGTCCTGCTCCTCCTCCTGCCCGTCGGGGACGACCAGCTGGTCCCGCTCTAGGTCCTCGGTGTCCTGGTTCTCTGGGCTCTCCAGCAAGGCTGCTGGCGCCCGCGGGGTGTGACCCACCGCCTCTGCTTCCCCAGTGCCTCTTCCGCCTGCAGGCCTGTCTTCATCGGCCGCCTGCTCTGGGCCTGGCGGTGCTGGCGGCAGCCCCGGCCCGTCCCTCCGAAGAGCCTCCTCACCGATGGCCTGAATCTCGTTGGTCTCCTCTGTGCACAGAACACCGTTCACTTCAACCTCACCAGCATTTACTTTCATTGGAACAAAAACACAACCCCTCATACCACTCAGTTTCTGGAGCCTTCCCAGGGGCTGTGGCTAGGGGAGCAACTGGGTCATTTACTCTGTGACTCCGTAAAGACTCCAGGTGCCACTCAACCTGCAGCTCATCTTCAGACGCATGAGGAAGAAAGAAGTGCTTCAGGGAAAAAATTTGGACTCAGTTATCCTGATTACAGGGACAACCAACAAGCTGAGGTTATCTGATGGCAGTAACGGAGACAAGTACTTGGGAGTGGGCTGTGCCGGCCACCACGGAGTCATTCCACAGGGACACAGCAACCCCTGGTTCCCAGTGACAGCTGCCCAGAACTCAGCCATCTCCCTGTAATCCCACAGTCCCGCTGATGTCCTCAATAAAGCACGGCCTGGGCCTCTCTTTACACAGCTGCCAAAGAACAAGGCACTTGGTTTACAGGGACGAGAGGTAAGAGAGGGAGGCGCCAATTCCAGGTGCCCACAGAGACTGTCACCTTCCTCCTGCAGCCCAAACCCAGGTCACCAACCGCCTCCAGCAGGGACACTCTGTCCTGAGGCCCCGTGCACAAATATTGGACACGAGCTGTCATCACATGGCTTTGCAGAGGGCTTCCGTGTATAATTACCAAGCTTCACTCACCTTTCTCACCTCGTCTCAAATCCAAAGCCCCCTCAGAACTGGGGGCTGGTGTCTGGGGCTCGCCATCGCTGGGCACGTTTCCTTTCACTGGTGGCACCTCTGCCTGGGGCAGGTCGACTTCCTGTGGCCTGGGCTGAGGCTCGTCGGGGGCTCGGAGCTGAAACAGGAGCACAGGACGGCCAGGGGGCTCTGTGACCTTAACCTCACAACAATCCCAAGCAAGGAGTGGATGTCCTTCTGACAGTCAACACACTGAAACCTTGAGAAATGCTATGATATACACCGATCGTGCTCTACCAGCTGGCATAAATCCAAGCTCTGAGGTTAAGATCTCCCAGAAAGTATCTTCAATACTGTATTAACAAGTAGGCAGAAGATCAACAAGGACAAGGAAGACCCGAACACTATAAACCAACCACACCAGAATGACTTCTATAGAACACTGGCCTGACAAGAGCAAATCACATTCTTCAAATGCACATGGAACATTCTCAGGGAGAAACATACTTAGGCAACGAAACAATCCTCAACAAATTTGAAATGATCGGAGAACATGCTTTGTATGATGTCAATCACAATGGAATGCAATTATCAACGACGATAAAATTAGAGAAATTCACAAATATGTAGAAATGAGACAACACACTCCTGAATAACCAGTGGATCAAAGAGAAAACAATAAATGCAAATAAGAGAGAAAAATGAAAACAAATACATAACATACCACACTTAAGGGACGCTGCTAAAGCAGTGCTTGGAGGGAAATTTACAGGCCTATATTAAGGGAAAAAAATAGAAAGATCTCAAAACAGTAATCTAATCTTCTACCTTAAAATACTGGAAAAAGAAGAGCAAACTAAACCTAAAACAAGGAAGGACATAATAAAGGTCAGAGCAGGAATTAAGAAATATAGAATAGAAAAACAACAGAACACATGCATGAAATCAAAGTGAATTCTTTGAAAAGAACAAAATTGACAAGCCTTTAGCTAGACTAAACAAGAAAAAGAGAAAACTCAAATTACTAAAATCAAAAATAAAATAAATGCAAGTAAAATATTAGACCTTACACAAAAATATTAGAAAGGAATACTGTGGGGCGCCTGGGTGGCGCAGTCGGTTAAGCGTCCGACTTCAGCCAGGTCACGATCTCGCGGTCCGTGGGTTCGAGCCCCGCGTCAGGCTCTGGGCCGATGGCTCGGAGCCTGGAGCCTGTTTCCGATTCTGTGTCTCCCTCTCTCTCTGCCCCTCCCCCGTTCATGCTCTGTCTCTCTCTGTCCCAAAAATAAATAAACGTTGGAAAAAAAAAAAAGAAAGGAATACTGTGAACAACTGCATGTCAACTTTGAGGACTTAGATGACATCAGACAAGTTCCTAGAACAATACAAACTACCGAAACTGACTCAAGAAGTAGGAAATGTGAGTGGACTTACAACAAGACATTGAATTAGTAATTTTAAAATGTCCTCCAAAGAAAAGCCCAAGCCCAGATGACTTCACTAGTGAATTCTAGCAAACATTTAAAGTATCAATACCAGCTCTTCACAAACTCCTCCAAAAAATAAGAGAAAGGAATACTCCCCAACTCATTCTATGAAACAAATATTACCTGATACCAAAACCAAAGACAAGAAAACTACAGACCAATATCTCTTAAGAATACAGACACCAAAATCCTTAACAAAATACTGGCAAAATCAAATCTAGCAACATATAAAAGGATTATATACCATGACCAAGTGGGATAAATCCCATGAATGTAAGGTTAAACATACAAAAATCATTCAGTGTAATATATCAACATAAAGGACAAAAGAACACATGATCATCTTAATAGATGCAAAAAAAAAAAAATTGACAAAAATCCAATGCCTCTTCTGGATAAAAACACTCAACAAATTAAGAACAGAAGGGAACTTATTCAGCTTGATAAACTCCATCTATGAAAACACACAGCTAACATCAGACTTAATGATAAAAACCAAATGGTTTCTCTCCATGATCAAGAACAGGGATGTCTGCCCTTCCACCTCTGTTTAGCACTGCCCTAGCCAGGGCAACTAGGCAATAAAAAGAAATAAAAGGCATCCAGACTGGGAAGGAAAATGTACAACTATCTCTCTTTTTTGGTGACATAATATTGTACACAGAAAATCCAAAGGAATCACACACCAACAAATAATATTAGAATAAAGAAGTTCAGCAAGGCTGCAATACGATATATATATATCAATATAGAACAGTGAATTGTATTCCTATACACTAGCAATGAGTAAGACAATAAAATTTAAACAATTCTATTTATGATAGCATAAAAGATACAAATAAACTGAACAAAAAAAAGTGCAAGACTTCTGTAAACTACAAAACATTGTTTGAAAGAGATTTTTACACTTGATCTTAGCCAAAAGGTTGAGAAGCAATGTTTGAAAGAGATTTTTAAAGGACTTAATTAAATGGAAAGACATCCCACATTCATAGAACAAAAGATGTCCTTTGTTGTTAAGATGGCAATACTTCCAAGCTGATCTACAGAGTCACTGTAATCTCAGTCAAAATCTCACCCAACTTTGTTGAAGAAATTGACAAGCAGATCCTAAAATTCATAAGGAAAGTCAACCAACAAAGAGGAGTCAAAATAGTCTTTAAAAAGAACAATGTTGGATGATTCATCACTTCCTGACTTCAAAGCTTACTACAAAGCTACAGTAATCATGGTGGTATGGTATTGACATAGGGGACAAACAGACCAATGGAACAGAACTGAGAGTCCACAAATAAACCCTCATATTTATAGTAAATTGATTCTCAACAAAGGTGCCATGGCAATTCGGTGGAAGAAAGAATTGTTTTTTCAAAAAAGGTGCCAAGAGACAACTGGATATTGACACGCAAAAGAATAAATTTGGAC